TACTGGGGGTCGGGGTTTGGGTATGGGGCAGGTGAGTACTGGGGGTCGGGGTGGGTTTCAGGGGTTGGGGAGGGGGAAGGTGGATGTGGTGAAGTGGGGAGGCTGCAGCTTGACAGGTATGGATGCTAGAGTGTCCAAAGTGGTGGTTAGTGTGTGTGCAGGTACTGGGGTGTAAAGGTGCCTGGAGATACAGTGGGGAGAGGGAGGGAGTAGGTGGGAAGCAAGGACAGAGAGGTGTAGGGGAGTGGGGATGACCAAGGAGGGGAGGGGAGGGTCGGGTCAGCAGATAGGGGATGTTTATGAGGGTGATGGTTACGGGGATTGGGAGGTGTGGAAGATGGCTAATTGAATTAATTTCATTGTTGCATGTGAATAGGATGCGGGCATGACCGTTTCCACTATGGGCCATGTGTCTTCTGTGTGGCACCAAACCTCTAATGGTGTTTGTTAGCAAATTGATCCATTCTGACCTCTGCAGTAACGACTGGCCTTCCCAAGTCCTTCAACTTGCTCCAGAATCCTGTCTGCAGGTTTCTTAAGAGTTTGTAGATTGATACAGACATGGAAGTATTTTCATTATTGAAGGAATTTAGTTGACTACGTTCAAAGAAACCCACCCCTTTGGGAGAATTTGAAGCACTGGATCCAAAGCTATGCTGACAAGAGCTGTACTGTCCAGTGGGTTCAGATGGGATTGTGATTATTCTTAAATTCTCTGAAATTCTTGTTTAATCCAACAGATGCTGGAACCCTTGGGAAGCCCCACATTGCAGATGATGTTGGTAGGTCTATCTGAAAGCTTTATTCCTCACTGTCATACTCAATTACTCAACAGACTGATCTGAAATGGTACACCCTAATGTTGAACAGGCTCTTGGGTTTAGGTACCACAAACAATGACTGCAGGAGCAGAAACCTAATGAATGTAATGGAAGGGGCAAGGATGTGACTTACTCTGTGGAGTAGATGGGGGTGAGATGTGAGTATACATGTTGTGTGTTTGGTGAGAGTGCGAATGGCCTGTTGGGAAGTGAAGCAGAACATTTGAGCTGTATTTGTTCTCCTTTCGTATAGTGATCCAGAACCCCAGGCTTTTCTTTTAGGGACGTGGGTTTCAATCCCAACATTGGTGCTGAAATTTGAATTCAATAAGAAATGGGATTAAGAACCAGTTTGCTAGCCGCCACATAACCGTTGTTTTTTTTAAAAAAAAAAATCTGATTCATTAATGTCCTTTAGAAAAGATAGTCCATCATCCTTGCCTGGTCTGGTTTACATATGACTAGATCCACAATAATGTGGTTAACTCTTAACTGTCCTCTGAAATGATCCAATTGTTCAAAAGTGCTGCAAAATCTGAAACTGGATGGATAGCAAAAGTTTCAGTGTCAAATGTCAATTTTCTTAGATAAATAATGTGAAGGTGCTGGTGTTGGATTGGGGTGGACAAAGTCAGAAGTCACAGTACACCAGATTATAGTCCAATAGGTTTATTTGAAATCCTGAGCTTTCGGAGTGCTGCTCCTTCGCTTGTGATTTCAAATAAACCTGTTGGACTATAACCTGGTGTCATGTGACTTCTGCCCTTGTCAGATAAAGATTTGGAAAATTGAGCCAATGTCTACTTGAGTACTAGCAACATGTCGCTAAGGCGTTTGGTCTTGTATGATCAATGTTCGCAACAATATACGGCTGGAGGCAAGGTGCTAATTGGTTAGCAAGTCCCCCCTGATTGATTTTATCATGGCCATACTTCAGCCAATGGAGAAGTCTAGAAATTCCAAGATTTGGCTTTGTTTTGTGTGTGTGTATTCATTCCCATGCCTGCCTCCGACCCCTCAACCACCCCTGGAAAAGAAAAAGACATTTTCACGAGGAAGCAGAGATTATATGTGTCTCTGGTCAGAGTGCAGTTGAATTTTGTGAACAGTTTTGAGCCTCGTTCCTAAGGAAGGATGTGCTGGTGATGGAGCAGATCCAGAGGAAGTTTACAAGAATGACCCCAGCTTGTCATGAGTAGCTGAGGGCTCCGGGCCTGTACTCAGTGGAGTTTAGAAAGATGAGGGCGATCTGATTAAAACTTAGAATATTGAGAGGCTTTAATAGAGTGGATGTGGAGATGAAGCTTCCAGCAGTAGGAGAGACGAGGACCCAAGGGCACAGCCTCGGAGTGAACGGACAACCCTTTAGAACTGAGATGAGAAATTTCGTCAGCCAGAGTGGTGAATCTGTGGAACTCATTGCCACAGAAGGCTGAGGAGGCCAAGTCATTGAGTAAATTTAAGACAGAGGTAAGTTCTTGATTAATAAGAGGATCAAGGGTACAGCGAGAAGGCAGGAAAATGGGGTGAAGAAACATGTTGGCCATAATTGAAAGGCAGAGCAGACTTGATAGGCTGAATGGCTTAATTCTGCTCCTTTATCTTATAGTCCAATGGAATTAATCAAAAATGGAAACTAAGTTTAGTAGGTGTCAAAAGGTTTGTTCAAATGGGTGAGATATATGTAGTTTCTTAAAAGGAGTGGTTTAAGGATCGAGACTAGAACGCCAAAGATATTCAAACATCAGAGGAAGGAGTGTTATCAAGGCAATAAATTGTATTGCTGGACAAGGTTACACAAATAATTAAGCTCACAAAGGGAATTAACCACAATTTTTCTGAAGAAGGGTCGAGACAAGAAACGTCAGCTTTCCTGCTCCTCTGATGCTGCTTGGCCTGCTGTGTTCATCCAGCTCTACACCTTGTTATCTCAGATTCTCCAGCATCTGCAGTTCCTACTATCTGTAACCACAATTTGTACAGTTTTTATCCTGCCACCTGGGAAAACCAGACTGTTGGGTTGATGGAGTAGCAGGACTTGGTGAAAGAGACACTATCAGTTGTGAAGTCGTGGTGGTTTCTCTGTACAATTGGGTAGGATTTAAAATGTGAGTAGTGAAGTACACTGTCTCATGTTGTGGCCAGGCATTTAACAGCGGATGATGCGTGTGGGGGCAATTCCAAACTAAGTGCACAAAAACATCCTACAGAAGAGATAAGGAACGATATAGTTACTAAAAATCAACCCAACCCATTTGATAATGCTGAGAAGCTACTAAGGCAGTCAGAATTATGAAACACACAAAGCTATAAGGAGACCTTCACATAGATAAGCCAATACATTCCAAGTGAATAACATCCTGTAAAGCAGAGATAGAAGTTAAGGAAACTAAGAAAGTCCCTGATTGAATTCAAAGTAGTTAATCTAAGGGGTGTAACTGCCTGCTGATAGTCAGTGGCATTGCCAATGCTGAAACTCCTGTTTGCAGGTTACTGTTGATCAGAAACAGGACTGCACTAGTATATAAATACGGTGCCTACAATAGCAGGTAAGAGGCTAGACTAACACTTGCCACCCAAACCAAAACAACCTGTTTGATTGGTGCTATATTCAAAAGAACAAAAGAGAAGTACAGTATAGGAAGAGGCCCTTTGGCCCTCCAAGTCTGTGCCGATCATCGTGCCCTAACTAAATTAAAAAGCAAACCTTCTGCCCTTATTCAGTCCATATCCCTCTATTCCCTCCCTATTCATATAACCACCCAGATGCCTCTTAAATGTCGCCAACATGCCTGCTTTCACCACCTCTTCTGGCAGTGAGTTCCAGGCTCCTACCACTCTGTATGATAAACTTCTCTCGCACATCCCCCTTAAACCCCCTTCCCCCCCCCCCCCCCTCCCCCCCCCCCCCCCCCCCCCCCCCAACCTTGAACCTGTGCCCCCTTGTAATTGAAACTTCGATCCTGGGGAAAAGCCTCTGACAATCCACCCTATCCGTGCCTCATAATTTTGCAGACCTCTATCAGGTCTCCTCTCAGCCACCATCTGTCTAGTGAAAATAACCCTAGTCTATTTAACCTTTCTTCACAGCCAATGCCCTTGAGACACAGCAACATCCTGGTGAACCTTTTCTGTACTCTCTCCAAAGCTTCCATGTCCTTCTGGTAACGTGGCAACCAAAACTGCACACAATACTACAAATGCAGGCTAACAGGGGTTTTATATAGCTGCAACATGTTTTGCCAACTCTTGTACTCTATGTCCCGGCCGATGAAGGCAAACATGCCATATGCCTTCTTAATCACTTTGGCTACCTATGTTGCCACTTTTAGGGAACTGTGGATCTGCATGCCCAGATCTGTCTGTATGTTAATATTCCTAAGGGTTCTGCCTGTACTATTTACATCTTTGCTATTCACTCAGCAGCATTGTGTACCATGTGCAAGATATGCTGCAGAAATTCACCTAAGGCTTGTTGACAGTGCCTTCCAAAACCACAGTCACCACCATTTGGAAGGATAATGGCAGCAGATACAATGGGAACACCACCAGCAACTTCTCCTCCAACCCCCTGACCATCCTTGACTTGGAAATATATCGCTGTTCCTTCAGTGTAGCTGGGTTAACCTCATTAACCTGACAGCATTGTGGATCTGCCTACAACACATGGACTGCAGTGGTTCAAGGTGGTAGGTCAGCACTACCTTCTCGAGGGCAGTTACAGATGGCATTGCATGGCCAGCAGTGCTCTTATTATCTCTCAATGTTGAGGGCATCAACTCACTTCTCTGTATTGAACCTCATCTGGTACTATCTATCCACTCCATTAATGTCCTCTTGGAGTTTTGCACTGCTCCCCTTTGTAGTTTACAGTTCTCTGAATTTTCGTGTCACCTGTAAAGTTTTAAATTTGTCCCTTGCACACCAACATGTCTACCATTAACATATCAGTAAAAACAATGCTCCCAATTGGGAACTCCATTACAAACCTTCCTCTAGACTGAAAATAATTGCCTGTTTCCTATCACTCAGGCAGTTTAGTATTCATGTTATCACTGCCCCTTTTATGACCTAACTTTCTTCACAAGTCTGTTTTGTGGCATCATATCAACTGCCTCTGGAATCTATGTCTATGACATCAACAGCATTACCAATATTTACCTTTTCTGTTGCTTTTTAAAAAAAACTCTGGGTTAGTTAAAAACACAACTTCCCCTGTCAAAATGCATGCTGACTTTTCCTAAGGAGGCCCACCCTTTTCCATGTGATTACTAGCTCAATACCAAATTTTTTATTGTGGAAGTGTACTCCCTACCAAAGTTAAGCTAAAAAGTTCTCAAAAAGGTTTACTGGATCCAAAACACAAACTCTTTCCTGCTGCAGATGCTACGAGAGTACTGAATTTCTCCAGCATTTTGTGTTCTTGCGACCCCAATGTTAAGCTCACTGGTCTGAAATTGCCAGGATTATCCATCAACCTCCAGCAACTCTCTGGACAGCTCGAAAAATTGATATGGAAACTGCTCCTGCAATTTTCTGAAGAAGGGTCTAGGCCCAAAACATCAGCCTTCCTGCTCCTCTGATGCTGCTTGGCCTGCTGTGTTCATCCAGCTCTACACCTTGTTACCTGCAATTTCAACCCTCATTTCCTTGAACCCTTGATTAAATGATTTATTGTCACGTATACCAAAGTGCAGTGAAAAGCTTTGTTTACGAGCAGTCCAGGCAGATCATTGTAAGCAAGGATGTACAGATCAAAAGACTTACAGGCATACAGATTACATTGCACAGAGCGTGCACTAGGCGAGATCAATGTTAGCAAGATCAGCATTATTTGCGGCTAGAGAGGCCATTAATCAGTCTATTAACAGCTGGGAAAAGGGGCAGCGATGGCCTAGTGGTATCATCGCTGGGCTGTTAACCCAGAGATTCAGATAATGTTCTGGGGACCTGGGTTTGAATTCCGCCATGGCAGATGGTGGAATTTGAATTCAATGAAATAGCTGGAATTAAGAGTCTAATGATGACCGTGAATCCATTGCTGATTGTTGGAAAAACCCACCTGGTTCACTAATGCTCTTTAGGGAAGGAAAACTGCCATCCTTACCTGGTCTGGCCTGCATGTGACTCCAGACCCACAGCAATGTGGTTAACTCTGAACTGCCCTCTGGGCAACTAGGGATGGGCAATAAATGCTGCCGAGCCAGCAATGCCCTCATCCTGTAAATGAATAAAGAAACAAACTATTCCTGAACATTCTAGTACATGTGTTCAGGCTTCTGTATCTTCTGTCTGACAGAAGAGATTGCAGGAGGTCATTACTGGGGTGCGATGGGTCTTTGATGTTGGCAGCCTTTCTGCAGCAGTGAGCCATGTAATTAGAGTCCATGGATGGAAGGTTGGCTTCTGTGATGGTTTGGGCTGTGTACACCACCTATAGCTTCTTACGGTCCTGGGCAGAGCAGTTCCCATATCAGGCCGTTATGCACCTGGACAGCATGTTTTTGATGGTGCATCTATAGAAGATGATGAGGGTCCTTATGGACATGTCAAATTTCCTGAGCCGCCTGAGGAAGAAAAGGCGTTGTTGTGCCGCCTTCACTGTCGTACGTTTGTGGGAAGTTTGGGACAGGTTGTCGGTTGTTGTCACTCAAAGGGACTTGACGCTCTCGATGCTGTCGACGCTCTCGATGCTGTCAACCCTCTCGACCTCAGTTCTGCTGATGTTGATGGGAGCATGTTCTCTTTTTCTTTATGAAGTCAATGAACAGTTATTCAGTTTTGCTGACGTTGAGAGAGAGATTGTTCTCATTGCACCACGTCACCAAGCCCTCTATCTCCCTTCTGTATTTTGACTCGTTAAGTATCTGTCCTACAACGTTGGTGTCATCCGCGAGCTTGGAGATGGCGCTCGTTTGGAATTTGGCAACACAGTTGTGGATGTACATGGAGTGCAGTAGGGGGCTGAGGGTGCAACATTAGGGGGCTCCAGTGTTGAGGGTTATCATAGAGGAGGTGCAGTTACCTATCCTCGCTGCTGTCTGTGGGTCAGAAAGCTGAGGATGCAATTGCAGAGTGCAGAGCCGAGACCAAGATCACGGAGTTTTGAAATCAGTCTGGAGGGGATAATCGTGGTGACTACAGTTCCGCCTTCAATCAGCTGGAGTCTGATGTAGGTGTACTTGTTATCCAGATGTTCCAGGGATGAGAGCAGGGCTAGGGAAATGGCATCCGCTGTGGACCTGTTACGTCGGTAGGTAAATTGTAGGGGATCGAGGCAGTTTGGGAGACCGGATGGATTTCATCCGGTCACAGTGCATTGTTAACTTTAAGTGCCAACAATTTATCTAAGACTTCTTCCTGTTCAATATTTTACCCTTTTCTAGTAACACCCTTTCCTCCTCTACCACCACTGCCTGGGCAGCATCCTCTTTTGTGAAGACAGATAAAAAGTTTTCATTTTAACAGCTTAGCCATGCCCTTCCTCAGTGCGTCAATCCTTTTCGTTTTCTGAGTGTCCGTACCCCCTCTTTAACTACTGCTATTTATATCCCTGTGGAAGACTTTGGAATTTCATTTTTATGCTCACTTTTTTCATAGTTCATCTTTGCTTTTATTTGCTTTTTGAACTCTCCATCAAACTTTTGGAATTCCTGTTGATTCTCAGTTGTATTTTCTGACAATACTTGGATAATTAAAGTTCCCCCATTATAACTACTGTATAGTGTTGGTCTCTGTCTGTAATTTCCCTGCAGCTTAGTACCTCTACATTGTTCCCACTAGTTAATGGTCTGTAGACTGCACCAAACAATGTAATTTTTCCCACTTCCATCCCGTAGTGTAATTCACCCCATTTCTACTACACCACCACCCTCCAACCTCGTGACATCCCAGAATGCAGCCACTGAAGTGCTTGTTCCCTTGTCTAATGAATCCCCTGATATTATTGAATCTCCTTTCTTCTCCTCTCCTGTTCATTCTCTCAACTACCATAACCTCAGGATCATGTACGTGTCAAACAAGTTGTCACTTACTTTTCTAAAATCCAGTGGAAATAAGCCTAGCCTGTCTAATCCTTCCTTAAACAAACACATTCCTTTCCCAATTGTTCTACACCTAACTTGACAGGTAACTTTTTGAAGTCATTCGTTACAGGTGGGTTTTGCTAGCTCAGCAAGTTTTTATTGCACGTTACAGGGTCCACAGTTTATATTAAAGCAGAGATGTGCCTGTCTGATTTATTGTTTGTTGCAATACCTATAATTAAAACTGAAAAGTGAACTTACAATGACCTGAAATCTGCTTTATTTCAGGGTGGTGACATTATGAAGCTGGAGAATGGGCAGTCAAAGCTTGGCCTGCCACCTCTTAACCCTGAGCAGCAGGAAGCGTTGCAAAAGGTGACACAAAATCTGATGGTTCAATTTCAAGCCAGATCAAATTGGAAGTAATTTATGCATTGAGGGAGATGGGTGCAGGATTCAGCAGGGTGGGTTAGGACCATTGTGGTGTTGGATGCAGGGTACATTCCAAATTAACTCCTTTGTCCTTTTGTCCAATTGCTGACCTATCTCAGGCTAATAAATTAATTGTTACTTTTGTAGGCATTTAAATCATAAGATGTCAGCAAATATTTTGCGCATCTTTTTAAAGTGTGATTCTCTGTCACGGTGTCCGTTTAGGCTGTTCCAAAGCAATCAGTCACTCCACAGCCCCCTGCAATTGCTGCACAAGAACATCTGGTGAAATGGAGCAGGAATGCTGCATATTTGGGTTATGAATTTTAAAGCCTTGAGCTTTATACTGTCGGTTGTCTCACTTGGGCATGTGCTGTAAACTCTCACCGTCGCATTGATTAACTGTTTACGAATTTAGCAGCAACCAGAGGCAGCCTTGCAACAAGTAAATGATTACAAGCAGTCAGTAATAATCTTACAGTCTGACTGCCTTTTGGAAAATAGAACATAGAACATTACAGCGCAGTACAGGCCCTTCGGCCCTCGATGTTGCG